CTCTTGCTTTCTTTGCTTTGTTCATTGTTCAACCGGTGTTTGTTGACTAACAATAACCAAATGCCGAGCGAGACACATGCTTCCTGTTTATACTAGAACGTGCATGCCCAGAGTGTGCGAATGCTCACGTGATATACGTTTTTGGTGGCGTAGTGTGGACGGAGATATGTTCAGAGACGCTAGTTAAAACGTTAGTGTGGACGCAGAACGTTTTTCATCTAAAACCCTGTTTTAAAACTAAAACGCACAAGTGTAAACGGGCCCTAAGACTCTTACCATACACATCTTATCGCCACTTTAGGTTTCAACCAGTAACATTGGTGACATTTGAACGTACAGAATATTCAGTAAATACTAATTGTCAGAAAATAATCCTACAACATTATCCGCATGCTGAATAAAAATGCTAATCCAGTAGGTGGCGCCTAAAACAGCAGGAATAACGGCGGCTTCATTGGTCACTGCAGTAAACAAAGCAGCGTGACGTCAAATCTAGCAGGATTTTTTTTATTTCATAAACTACACAGCTTCCTTATATTCAAAGATTAAATTCAGGCAAACTTTAACACCTTGTAAAATAGATTTTAAATGCTTTTGAATGTCTCTAAATTGACTTATCAACTTGTAATGCTATTTAAGACCCCGCGGACACCCTAATTACAGTCAGGAGAAGCTGCTGTTTCTCTCTTTCTCTTTCTTTCTTTCTGGCCTCCTTTGATTTTCCTGATGGTTGAAGTCGTTGCCTCCGCTCAGGAGCTTTAGGGGAACGGCTGCATCTGCTGTTGAGATTTTACAGGAAGAGAAAATTGAAAAATCAATAAAAAGCCAAAAAAGAGTGAGAGGGAGAACACATACACAGAGGAGGAGGAAAGCGAAGCCGCTTTGAAGAAGCAGACACACATAAAGCTGATTTTTTTTTTTCGAGATGTGTTTTCGGGACTAATTCGAAGGGCTCAGGATGTTGTATACGCACATTTCTACACCACACACCCCCCATCAGCCAAACAAATGTGTTTGTTTTATGTAAAGAGCAGCGGAGTGAAGTAAGACAATGCATTAGAGGAGCTGGAGTGGCTGTAATCTGAACCTGCTGCTGGGAAACAGAAGCATCTCTCTGTCTATCAGAAAGTTCGCAATACGTTCTGCCGCAAGTTTCACCTGAAATCACCCGATTTGAATGCGATGAGTTTCTGGATATACATGAAACACAAGAGACAATCCAACTCATCATTGAGTTATTAACTGAAGTGTCTCTCTCACTCCATTAATGCAGTTCTGCTCATTATTTTCACATTTGTGGAAGAGTGCCTGAACACAGGGAACGTCTGTGGGAAGGACAGCGGGCCGCGGTTATTGACTTGTAAAGGAGCTGGTAGAAGTGTCTGGATAAGACGCGCTCTTGTAAAGCGGTATCTGATTTCTCTGCTAGTTGGGTCCCCAGGGGCCGCGGGGCTGATGGGAGCTCACAGCTGAACGCACACGTGAACTCCGGAGGTGTTTCCCTATACCCGCCGAACTGCGTCTCTGAACTCAAGACTCTGATTTCGTGCATGTCAGCATATCGGGATCCATGCACAGACACGAGGACAATTTTGAGGCAGTTGCATTCATCTAGCACAATTTTAAAGACTTTCGCTGACCGATGTGCTGTCCGATTAAATGAACAAAAACGAAACAGACAACAACAAACATTAATTTTTCTTCAGCTTAGTCTCTTTATTCATCAGCGGAATGAACCGCCAAATTATCCAGCATATGCTTTACGCAGTGGATGCACTTCCAGCTGCAACCTAGTACTGGGAAACACCCATACACACTCACATTTACACACTACAGCCGATTTAGTTGATCAATTCCCCTATAGTGCATGTGTTTGGACAGCCTGATCTCACGAGGAAACGTAAATATTTTACGTTTTTGCCAGTTTAGTGGCTAATACGTACAAATTTGCACGAGATCAATCGTACAAAACTGTAAGATTTTAAACAGGAGGCGTGGCACCTAACCCCACCCCTAAACCCAACCGTCATTGGGGGATGAGCAAATCATACTGATTTGTACACATTAGATTGTACGAATTCATACGATTTAGCTACTAAATCAAAAAGTTCTGAATTGCCAGCCTGATCTCACGAGAAAACATAAGTATATTACGTTTTGCCAGTTTAGTGGCTAATTCGTACGAAATTGTAAGATTTTAAAAAGGAGGCGTGGCACCTAACCCCACCCCTAAACCCAACCGTCATTGAGGGATGAGCAAGTTGTACTGAATTGTACGAATTAAATCGTACGAATTCATACGAATTAGCCACTAAATCAAAAAGTTACGAATTGCCAGCCTGATCTCATGAGAAATTGTAAGTATTTTACGTTTTGCCAGTTTAGTGGCTAATTCGTACCAATTCATACGATTTCAGTCGTACGAAATTGTATAATTTTAAAAAGGAGGTGTGGCACCTAACCCCACCTCTAAACTCAACCGTCATTGGGGGATGAGCAAGTCGTACTAAATTGTACGAATTAAATCGTACGAATTCATACGAATCAGCCACTAAATCTAAAAGTTATGAATTGCCAGCCTGATCTCACGAGAAAACATAAGTATATTACGTTTTGCCAGTTTAGTGGCTAATTCGTACGAAATTGTACGATTTTAAAAAGGAGGCGTGGCACCTAACCCCACCCCTAAACCCAACCGTCATTGAGGGATGAGCAAGTTGTACTGAATTGTACGAATTAAATCGTACGAATTCATACGAATTAGCCACTAAATCAAAAAGTTACGAATTGCCAGCCTGATCTCATGAGAAATTGTAAGTATTTTACGTTTTGCCAGTTTAGTGGCTAATTCGTACCAATTCATACGATTTCAGTCGTACGAAATTGTATAATTTTAAAAAGGAGGTGTGGCACCTAACCCCACCTCTAAACTCAACCGTCATTGGGGGATGAGCAAGTCGTACTAAATTGTACGAATTAAATCGTACGAATTCATACGAATTAGCCACTAAATCTAAAAGTTATGAATTGCCA